ACTGAGAACTTGTGGTTGGGATACTTCTGTCCCTAAACCTGACAATTTGAATGGCCAGGAGGCACACGTAGCCTGCAAAAGAGTCAAATGAAGTCCAGCGTCAGTGAGATTATATGTTATGTGGTATATAATGTTGGATGTCAACTCCCCAAAACCATAAAACTTACTTTAATGGCACCACGTGACTTTTTATAGCCAGTGAGCCTATCTGTCTGTGCTATGGATGATTTTACGATCTAATTCATAGACAAAACCCTATTCATTTGGCACCCAAATGTCATATAGCCGGAACTGGGGCTTATAAAGTTTACTGTTTTATAACTTTTAAGGGAAGGCATCAATGTAACCAGTCAGTAAATGTGCAAATCTTTAGTTGCTCTTAGAAGCTCAGAAGAGTTAACCATTCAAGCTCTGATGGGGTAAGTAACATTACGTTTATAGCAAACTAATTGTAGCAAAGAAAACCAAAAATCTTTAAAGGGTGAAGAGTGGGAATGTGGCTAGAGAGGGTTACTAATAGACGCAGAGGGCTCAGACGGGGCTATCCTGCAAATATACTTAGTGAAACCACAGGAGAAATTCTAGAGCGATGCAAACACGCCTTGGCATTAGCAGTGTGTTTTAACAAAGCACATGTTTTTTGGTATGGGCTTTTTTTTTAACCATCAGCAAACAGCTAACAGTTGATTCACTCCCAAAGGGTGTTGATTGTGGTCCTGCGATGCAGCTTTCCACCTAGCGAGAAACCAGTAAGGAAGAACTTACGGTCAAACTTTCAATTAAAAATACTGATAGCGGACAATTGCAGCATCCACCATTTGCAACGTGCAGCAGGAGCCAGGTAAAATATTATTACAAACTCTGCACAGGCTATTTTTTTTTTTTTTTCCGGAGGCATATCTGGAAGCACAACTTGCTTTGCACAAACCAGGTCACGAAAACTTTACAATAGAAAGTTTATTTTTTTTGTTGTTGATTTCCAGTCAGATTTTTTTTAAAAACAAATAATAATAATAATAATAATTAAAAAAAAAAAAAGCTGATCACAGTTTGCTCAAACAGCCAGACTTTGACTATAATTGTAACTTTGTTCACAAAAAACATACATCACAGAAGCTGCGCTTAATAAGAGCCACTTCTAAGAGTTCGTGCAAAGAGTCATATACAAAGGCACAGCAAGGACATACTGCTTGGAATCACAGTTTTCGTCACAGATTCACTATTCACTACACGCAGGACAAATTCAGTTGATTTCATCATTTCACCTCTACGACAGCATTAATTACACAGGAATTATATAGGTAGTTTGAATAAAAATACTTTTAACAGCTTGGAGCTATACAAACATTAACACTTGACCACACATGCACAGTTAAGCAGGTTGAGTGCAACACATAACATTTGTACTAAACCGGGGGAGGGTTTCTTTCTCTCTCTCTCCTTTTTTTTTTTAACTTCTCATTTTTTCCATTTTGTTCTTTTTTGTTCAGTTTTGTTTTGTTTTAACAGTTACTTCAAGTAACACAGCTTGCTTCATATAAATAAGTTAAAACATCTATTATTTTTTTCAAGACAAAGCCATTCAAGACAAAGAAATGTACGATAAAAGCAGATCTACTTATACACGCGAGAGAATGGTAATAAACAGGCTCATGATTAAAAGATGAATAAGGGCGACAAGAACAGGGTTTCTTCACAGAAGTAACACAAGGAAGTTTTAGAAAGTCAACTTAGTACTGACATGAGACGACGCAGGGTCAGCTAATACTGCTCAGTACTTTTAATTGATCAAACGCTTAGGGACGGAATGCCCCTCCTGCAGCTGCCATGCTCATACTTTTCAGCTTATTATCCTTTTTCCATTTCATTCTCCTGTTTTGGAACCAGATCTTTATTTGTCTCTCTGAGAGGCAAAGAGCATGTGCTATTTCAATCCTTCTTCTGCGGGTCAGGTATCTATTGAAGTGAAATTCCTTTTCGAGCTCCAAGGTCTGATAGCGGGTGTAAGCAGTCCGAGCCCTTTTCCCTTCTGGTCCCCCTATGTTGTCTGGAAGAGAAAAGTACATGATTTAGATTCTCAGCAGCCACTCGGAACCTTCGTGTCTCATTGCAGCTACCAGCGACCAGGACCGTTATTCTCAGTCCTGCTTGTTTTGTTTCTGCTTTGGATAAACGCTCAACAAGTTTCCCCCTGCAGCCCCTCTTAGGAAAGGCTTGGGGGAGGGGGATTTGGTAGTCTCAGTAAGTTTTCGCTTGGATTTGTGGTTCGATTTTTTAGAATTCAATTATTTTCCTTTTTTTTTTTTTTTTTTTCCTTTCTCCCCCCCCGAAGGTTAATTCCCCCCATGCCTCCCCCAGATAAGCTGCTTTGGAAGATGTCTCTGCTGGTAGCTGGGTGTTCAGAGCTGGGAGAGCAAAGCTTTCAGCCCTTTCCCACGGCTGAGCCGGGGAAGGTTCTGGGAGGCAGTGAGCCCCCGGCCGCTCTCCCAGCAGCGAGGGCAGGGCAGGTACCCGAGGCTGAAAGTTACCTCACTTCCCCGCACCCCTCAAGCCCTCTCCCCCCGAGTTTGGGGAGACTCGCCCTTCCCCACCCCCCTCCCCCGGCTTCCCAGCATTGAAAACTGCCCTTCTCGCCCTCTCCTATTCTCTATTTAATATGTCTCAGCAAAATAAATGGGGTCAGCCGCGCTGTTCCCACTGGAAGATCCCCCATCCAGAGGAGAGCCGAGAGCAGCCTCTGCTCCCGATCCCCCTTCGGCAAGGCGCCTTCTGCTCCCCCGCCGGCGCTAGGAGCCAGGCAGGCTGTGTTTTGGGGGCCAGGCGATATTTTTCTCCTTTCGGGGAGACTCGCCCAGACAAGGGAGCGTGCTTCCCTGCAAGCAGAGTTGTGGTGTGCGCGGAGACTGCCCGCTCTCACGCCCTCCTCTCCCCCTCTCCCCGACCTTGCTCGGCGCAGCCACCCGGTTTACATTAAATCCTCCTTTTCCTCCAGAGAAATAAAGAAAGAACAGGGTATTTGCTTTACCATGACTTATGTGCAGTTTTCGCATCCAAGGGTAGATCTGGGGCTGTGAAGGCTGGGCTGTGCTTTGGTCGGTCGGGGCACTTGCCTGCTCGCTGCTTGCTGGAGTGTCTTCTTCAGTCCCAGACGAGGTGCCAACCCCGTCTCTGCTGATGTGCGTGTTGCTGCTGGAATTGGACGAAGTGCTGGTGGAGTTGGCGAGGGAGTTTTTCACCCCGTGGTGACTCTCGCTGACAGGCGAACCGGCCACGGCGGTGCAGGGCAGAGGGTCAGGGGGAGGCGAGTGGGAAGACGTCGCGGGCTGGTTGTACCTGGGCTCTGTCGAGGCAGAGGTGGTGTTGGCCGGGTAACTGCGGGGTCTCTCATTGGCACCAAAGTGGGTGGAAGCAGAGCGCCCGACGCTGAGGTCCATGCCATTGTAGCCGTATCCGTACCTGCCGGAGTGCATGCTGGCGGAGTCCCTGTATTGCTCGCTCACCGAGCTGTGATCTCCATAATTATGTAACTGGTAGTCCGGGCCATTTGGATAGCGACCGCAAAATGAGTTTACAAAATAAGAGCTCATTTGTTTTTTGATATGTGTGCTTGATTTGTGGCTCTTGGTCGTTTTGTGCGTCTATAGCACCCTTGCACAATTTATGATGAATTATGGAAATGACTGGGACATGTACTTGGTTCCCTCCTACGTAGGCACCCAAATATGGGGTACGGCTTCACATCACGTGCTTTTGTTGTCCAGTCGTAAATCCTGCCTGATGACCTCTAGAGGTAAACTCGTGCACTGGTGGGGGAGCTGGGAGGGCGCGGGCGGCCCGGGGCGCGCCTCCCGTGCGCGCCGCCGCCGCCGCCGCCCGCCCGTCCACCGGCCTCCAGCGCCACCCGCTGGCGGCGCGGGGGATGGCGGCGGCTCCGCGGGGTCGGCCCAGGGTGACGGCCCCCGACGGCGATGCGGAGCGGCGTGGAGAGGCGCGGAGAGGTGCGGAGCGAAGCGGGCCGGGCCGTCACCGCGCCCGGCGCCGCCGCTACCGCCAGTGGCACCAGCGACCGGCGGTGAGGCCGCGGGGCCGGCGGGGATCGCTCCTCCGACCCACCCGCCGGAGAGCTCGGAGTGGAGGGAGCTTTGTGCTTGCCTTCTTCTCCGTGCCAGGCTTATTTATTTACACCAGTTCACAAATCCTGTAGGATCCGTCCTCGGGAGCTCTCTACATATATAGATATATGTATAATTTCCCCTCCCCACTTACTCCCGTGCCAGAGCTTTAGAGAGGCAGCCGGGTCCTGCCGATGTGAAATGGCAGGTACCTATGAAAGATAAATATCGTGCAGCGTTTTTCCAGCTAGGGGGTCAAATTCCGGGCGGCTTTATGGCCGCCGTTATTTTATCGCCTCTCGAAAGGAAAATAACTCTCTAAATGGGGCGGTAGCCATTGTGCATTGGTATTCTTCAGATCTGGCTTTTTATATATTTAGAGCATTAGCCCAAACTGTGCTGCCTTCCAAACAAAAGAGCCTCGATGACTATACAAGTGCATTTGGACACAGTTTCACACGCATACTCATACATACACAATATAATATAGAGACATATAACGTATATATTAATCAATATTTTCGCTGAGCTTATTTTACTTATACAGAAGTGGAAGCATTTTATGGCAGGTATTTTTCTACAGAATATCAATTTATTTTTTCCACTGCTAAGAAATGAGAATGTGCGTTAAGATACCACAAAAGCAGAGGAAAATATCCCCGAGTTAATAAGACTTTTTCTTTAAATAAATAAGTAAGTAAGTAAGACAGAAAGATTAAAAAAAAAAAAAAAAAAAAAAAAAAAAAAAAAAAAAAAAAAAAAAAAAAAAAAAAAAAAAAAAAAAAAAAAAAAAAAAAAAAAAAAAAAAAAAAAAAAAAAAAAAAAAAAAAAAAAAAAAAAAAAAAAAAAAAAAAAAAAAAAAAAAAAAAAAAAAAAAAAAAAAAAGAAAGGAAAACCAGCTGGATCTAAGCCCACGAAGCCCCAAGAAATGTAGTCCATAATTCAAAGCCCCTTCAGTGTAGAGCTGAGCTCACTGAAACCTCAATGTAAGCTCAACGGGAACCACAGAAATTTTCCCTCTTTAAAACCTCTTCCCTCGCTTCCCCTGAAGTTTACCGCTGAGTTTTTGCTTTAATACTGGTAGTGCAGATTAAGCAGTTTAGGGGCATTTTAAAAAATCTCTCTGCAATTCATCTTCACTTTAACTTCAGATTTATATACAGGGATTTGTACAACGATTTTTTTAAAGGACATTTCTTCCTTTTGCTATTTAAATATCTTATACATAATTAGAACTTTTTTTCCCCCTGCAGATCATAAACTCCCAAACACAGCATAACGAGATAGCCCAACTTAGCGGGAGCTAGCAAAACCATAAACCCGATATTTTCTAAAATCTCCTGTCTTTCTACAGTAAGAACATTTCTAATAATAATAATAAAAAAATCCCTTATCTTTCTTCACACAAGCACACCAGGGACAGTCACCCACACATAGATGCTCACCTCAAATATTTAAAATTCTGGGCCAATTCTCTAATACTTTAGGCAACGCCATATATGCTTTGGAAAGGTGATTATATACATACATGCCTGTAGCTCAAAAGCTAAGACTTCCACATATATTAAAGTAAGTCGCAGATGATTGCAAATGTACATCTCTTAAACAAGCCTTTTGGGGATTAATAGACTGTGACAAAACTATAGGATTTCAGTAGCAGAAGGAACACAAGGTAAATAATAATAATAGTAGTAAGCGCTAAGGAAAGGCCTGGTAGCATTTATTAAACGTGGTTCTACTCCCCTGACTTTTCCTCTGTTTCTTCGCTGCTTGGCTGTGTGGAATTTATGAATTTGTTTTCCTTTTTCCATTTCATCCGCCTGTTTTGAAACCATATTTTAATCTGGCGTTCAGTAAGGCAGAGAGCGTTTGCAATCTCAATACGTCGTCTTCGGGTTAAGTATCTGTTAAAATGAAATTCCTTCTCTAACTCTAGCGTTTGGTATCTGGTGTAAGTTTGCCTCCCTCGTCTCCCATGTGTTCCATATACTGTACCTGTAGAAGTAAAGACAAAACGATCGCATTGGACAGGGCCCAGTGATTTCAGACCAGAAAGAACGGTTAGTATATTCTGCCTCCTTTTGCAGGCACAATGACGGGGAGGGGGGCGAAGCTGCTCTGGTTTCCTGGAGGCTTTTTTTTTTTTTTTTCCCCTCTTTTCCTTTTCTCCTGCCTGCCTGTTTGTAAATGCGGATGTGCAGTGTGCTTACGGTGGTGGGGTATGTGGGATACAAAGAGGCTTTAGGGTAGACCTAGGGGAAGCGCAGTAGGTAACACCCGTGCGAATCGCTGAGCAGCGTCTGCTCCCTGCGCGTTGGCAGCCTGTGCGCGCACACACACACAGGCTCACGCACACGTGTGCTGCCCGGGAAGCCTCATGTGTCTGTGCGTGCGTGTGTGTGTGTGTGCACGCACATGCGGGTGTGTCGAAACAAACACGCAGCCATTGCCACGGCTGTGACTACAGAGTGTCTCTAATTAAAGTATGATTATAGACATCAGCTAAAGATCATAGAAGAGCGTTTTGCCATTTGCTCTAGAATTTATGGCTCTCGAATGCAAAGCAGCATCAGAACGGTCTTGCTAAAAGTTTAACTTTTCAAAAAAAGAAATGTTATCTCCCCTTCAGCAAACGTAAACTCGGGAGGATGGGAGAAGAGGGGAGTCGTTAGCAAACACTGGAAGTAAACGTCTTCATATGGGATTATAAAAAATACATACCACTCCAATATAACAGTCCCAGAGCACCCCCAGCCCCCAGCACCATTCCTGTACACAATCGTTCAATTATGTGAACTTTACTCTTAAAGTCAGAAAAAAAAATTCTCAATGCCATAGAAGTGCGCCCACGGCCCCAGAAACGTGCTCTCAATATCCAGTACTCACAGGCTAATGAGCTGGGGGAGGGGGGCGAGGAGGAATGTGCCACAAATGCATTGGATCCTCAGTACAGAGGGCATACTCCCTGCACCTCTCTCTGACAATGAAGCAGCAGAGCAGAGGCTTTGGGATGGCTTTAAGAGAGTGGAAAAACTGCTCTGGTTTTTATCTCCTTTTCTTTTTTATTTCTTTTTTTTTTTTTTTCCCTACTTCTAAGGATTCCCCGGTAAATTTCTCAAGTGAATCTACAAACTGGGATCTCAGCCACCGTTCCGAGGGTGCCAACGTGCCAGGTCTAAAATAACCAGAGAAGGTTTCATGTTACATATTGCCCTGCAGGAACCGTGTTTCTCCAGCAGTCTGGACTTTATCTAAGAACAAACAAATAAAATAAAGGGGGGGGGGGGGAAGAAAAAAAAATAAAAGAAACTTTTCCTTTCCCTCCCCCCCGCCCCCCCCCCTCCCCGCCCTTGATTGCATCGAGATGCCTTACCAGCACAAGAGTTCATCCGCTGCATCCAGGGGTAAACAGGGCTCGTGTACTTCCGGTCGGTACCTTCGTCATTTATAATTTTGGCTTGGCCGCCGCTGGATTTGTACTGTTGATCGGGAGAAAAGTGCAGGTAGTCCCCAGGCCCTCTCTGTTTGCCACTGCCGGAGGGAGAGGCGCTACTAATGTCCTTGTCCGAATAAAAACAAGAGGCTCCGTACTCATAGGAAGCCCGATTGCAAGCAATGACGGTATTGGACTGTTGGTAGAAACAGGGTGAGGTGTAAGTCTTGTCCTGCAGGCGGCTTGCCCCGTACGAAGCCGGAAAATGCCTGAGAGCATCATAGCCCGCCGGGTACAGGGGGATCTGGCCAAGGAAGGAGTCCTGGCCGCCGGGCAGGCTCCCCGGGAAAGTGGGATTCACGAAATAGGAACTCATTTGCTCTCCCCCTCTCTCGGCCCGTGATTTGTTGTGTATTAGTACATCTGGCGATAACTATTAGGAGTCATCGAAGTGGTTTGTTTCTGGATGGCCGAGCGCCAAAAGCGACAGCAGAAAATAGGAGCAGCTGACGGTGGGGCGGCCAATGGGAGCGCGCGCGGCGCCCGCTCCCCCGGGGCCGCCGCCACCGCGCCGCCAACTTACCGGCAGCCCCGGCCCCGCCGCGCCGCCCCGCACCGCACCGCGCCGCCCCGCACCACACCGCTCCGCGGCCACCGGCCGCGCCCCCGGGGCGGCGCCGCCCCTCCGCGGGAAAAATAATCCAGTGATAATAACAACAATAATAGCGATAATTCCCGGCAGCGCGGGCAGTGTCACAGCGGCTAATGTGGAAACCTCCCCCGCCCCCACTTCCCCCTCCCAAAGCCGCTGGAGGTGTGTGTAGGGGGTCGTCGCCCTTAAAAGTTGGAGGCCCCACGACGAGCCAGCCGGGCAGCCCCACAGGCAGGGTGGGTGAAGCGCCCGCGGCTCTCCGGTGGAGGGAAGGAGGAGGGAGTGAAGGAAGGAGACGGTGGTGGAGGATGCTGCGGAGGGAAACTTTAGAGTGGAAGGAGCACGTGAAAGGGGGAGCGGAACGCCACGCAGCGTGGGGGGTGGAGTGGGGGGGCGGCCTCTCTCCACTTTGCCATTGCGATGCCCCAACCACATCCAAGAATTTTTAGGGGATTTTAAAACGTAATTATTTATCCATTCAGTCGAAAATTGCCCCTCCACTGAGGCTTCCCTTCGGAGCTCAGGGAGACCGCCCCAGTGCCGAATCCAGCTTTTGTGAGAGAGGCATGGAAGAGGTCTCGTATTTTAATGAACACCACCCACCATAATTAACGCGGAGGTCGTGGCGGTGGCCTTTTGGGTAGGGGGATTTTTGATTTGTACCAAGTGCCCGAGGAGGCCTCGGGACGAGCTCGGCAGTCTCCCAGCGCTGCCCGGCAGCCCAGATAAAGTTCTGCATGTCTCGTCTTCCTAAGTCTATCCCCTCTCCAGAAGAGCTGAGCCGAGGAAATCAAACACTCAAATTAAAAAACGAGCCAGTAGGACTATTCCTAATTAATACAGCCGTAATAATGAATCAACAGAAGCCAATCGGTTTGGTTGTTACTCGGAATAATTTGATTAAAAGCGAATGTGTGCCTTTAGGAGGAGAAAAACAATACACGAAACAAACATTTCCACCTTCATTTTTCAATATGGCAGTTACCCCATAGCGGAAATATAATTCTTGGCCCAGGACTCGGACAGTAACAGTGCTGATGAAATTCGCTGATGTGCATTTAATTCAGCCGTAACCGTGCAGTTCCTGGAGATAACATGAGGTTGTTCATTCCAAGCTGTGTTTACTCATAATCTGTGCCCATTACAACAGATCGAATAGCCTAATTTTAAACGCGCTCTATCACGGAAAGTGACATTCGTACGAGCCCAGTTTCCTAAAGCAGCTTTCAAAAGAGAGTTTTGTTTTTGTTGGGAGACTATTTGTCTCATTTCCGGGGGCAGATTACGATACCTATAAAACAGTAGTGAGCTAAAGCATCTCTCCACAATAGTTTGTATTGTTTGCAGTCTCAGCTGGACTTTCACATTCACATGTTGATTGCCTCCAATTTTTTTTAACTTCCTTAACCTCTTCAGCCCAACCAATCCATAAACACACCTGGTAGAATTACAGCTCACTAGCTGCATGCTTTGAGAGGTCATTTCAGAAACACATATTTCCTGACAAACAGATTTTTCCAGAGGGGGAAAAAAAAAGTTTTTTTTACTCAGTGAGAATAGAGTTTAAAAAGGAGGAAACACCAGCAATCAAGCACACACAACAAGACAAATGCGAAGAGGTTTTTAAAAGAGCAGATTTTCCAACTTAGGTCAGAACGAAAAAGCACCATGAAAAAAGAACACTCAGGACAACCAAAACCCACCGGCCTTACTTCTAAAAAGTTGTGACCAGACAATCTTCTGTTTAAATCCATCATACAGACCAAAACAAACTTTAAAATAAAAAATCGCTCCAGGCTTAGTTATATTTACATTTTATAGCATCGGTCACAGACTGTTTTCCCCACTCTGTTTCTTTTTGTTTCTTTCCCGTTTTTTAAGCTATTGCTTGCGTCCAAACCAAGTTGTGAAAACCCCACTACAGGCAGCGAAAATATTTCTCCGTTGATCCCTTAATATGAAAATGAATGAAATGTGAACGTTTGCCTGACTGAGTCGTGTTAGAGTAGTTACAGTGACAGCTAAACGATCTGCACTGCAATCTCCGCTTCAGTCACATTCAAGCGTCCTTTCCGCTCCTCCCCCTACCCCCAGAAAATCCCGAATTACAATAACCTGTTACCCCCCAGGTCTGCCGAGGAAATATCCTGCCCAGGCACATTTCGCAGCCGTTTCCCTTCACCATTCCCATCCGCATTCTGGAAAGCAGAAGGCAAGCCAACCGCTGCATTTTGACAACGCAACTAAGTCACACTTAGCGACACCCATGTATTTCATCCCCCTTTTATTTGTTTTCGTAATTCCCCTCTCCCCTAGCACCTCCTTCACAGAACACTTCCCCGTACTCTTCCCGCCGAAAACCCGGCCGCGACCCCAGCCGCTCTCGGATACAGGTGCGGGGGTAGTTACCCACTTAAGCTTAAAAGCCTCCTTCTCCTCGTGTATAAAACCACTTCCAAATCATTCTCGTGCTCGCCAGCGTCATCAAAACCAACCTTTAACTAATAGCTCCTAATCCAAACAGTTTGGGCAAGGCGGACCGTTGTTTAGACTGGCGGGGTACAGAGAGCCAGGCCGAGGGGACGCGGGCAGGTCCTCCCCAGCCGGCTCCCACCGTGATAACTTGCAGTTGACACACACGGAGGTACAAGCGGAGGGAGAGTGGGCAGAGCCAGTCCTGCCGGAATATCTTGCCCGGGGGCGAGCTCCGATGCTCCCGTAGAAAAAGGTAGGCCCGTGGTGTTTTGATTTAGTTTGGTTTTTTTCCCTCTTGGTCTTTTATTTGGGCTCCCCCGAGCAGCGCAGGCTGCCAGCGCTGCCCTTCCCAGGGGCTGCGGAGGCCGCTCCGCTCCGCGCCCGCCTCCGCCATCCCGCCACGCCGTGGCAGCACTGAGCACCCGCGGCCCCGCAATAAATAATCCGGCGCTCACTGCAGCTCCAGTCCGGCGGATACCGCAATGCAATGCAAATGCAGTGCTTTATCAGCCCGGCGGCACAGGCAGAGACGGGGCAGCCGCTTAAAGGCCTCCGAGCCGCTCCTTCGCCGTGAAGAGGTGGGAGTGCAGCCGGGCTGCAGCGGCGGGGGGTCCAGGGGCGCAGTCCCCTGGTCCCCGCTCCCCCCCGCCGGCACACACTGCGGGGCACTGGCCCGCCGCCCGCCGCTCCCCCGCCCCAGCGCCGCACCGTAACAGTCACAACAAGGAGAGGAAGGGGGGGGAAAGCTCCGTCTCCGGCGCTGAAATGGGTTTAGCTGCAGCGAAGCCCGCTCCGCGCAGCCGAGGCGCGCAAGCCGCCCGCGCCAGGAAGCACCGGGAACGAACCTACGGCGGGCCACGGGATTTATGCAGGCAGCGTTTGATCTGATAAAGAAAATCTAAGACACAATCGCCCTGTTTCCTCACGTCTAGAAATAACCTTTCTCCTGGACATGGCAGGGAAACCAGGAGACATCGTATTTACTGATGGTTTTTTTTCTTTCTGAAATAGTAAAAAATAAATAATATCTAAAGTTCAGCTACCGTAAATGAAATTTAAGTTAATAATTTAATGCTGCGAATTAATTAAAAAATGTTTGGGGATATTAGTATTTTTTTCCTCCTGCTAGGAAAAAAAACCCCCTCCATTGATGCTGTAAACTGAATTATTGCAAAATAATCTGAACGTCACAATAAACCCCCTGGCTAATGCAAACAGAAATCAACTTCACAAAAAAAAAAAAAAAAAAAAATCCACAGCTTCCTCGCTAAATCATAGAAAATAGACATTTTATTAAGGAATATTTTTGCATGCACTGCCTAAGTCAAAATCAACTAAGCTGCAACCACCTCTATTTTTGGCCGGTAACATTTCCATTTGCTTTAATTACACATGTCTAATATTTAAACGTATTAAACCATTTTTCCCTGCTTACGGTAGTGTCATATGCATTTCTCACCTTTTAGGTTCTGGCTCACAGGAGCCCCTGCGACTTTGACAGCTGTCGCTTTGGCTGCACAGGAGACGAATCGCCCTCCTTTTGGTGCCAGAAGAAGCAGGAAATTAGCCAGGTTGCAAGTTGAAAATCTGCCACGCCAGTGCTTTGAATCCAATATGCCACACCTTCCAGCGGGGGAACTGGAAATTGCCATCCCGGATCTGTGTTCTAGGCGGCTGCTTATGCCGAACCTCCGCACACTTTGTTCACTATTGCCTTACAAAGAACAAATGAAATGGGGATTGAAAGCCAGAGAGATCCGAAGCAGGACAGAGCTCAGCAAAAGAATGCGGCTCTATTCTCGCAAGGGAAATTATAAAAAAGTTCATGTTCACGGTTACCATCCACATGACCGACAACGACCAATGGAAAAACCGAACAACTCATAAAGTTGTATTGCAAAGTTGTAAATTTTCATAAACAACAACGGATTTATGGCCTTTTCCTCATCACTAAGAAGAGGCAGGTCTTAGAGAGGCGCCATCTTACCGAAGAGGCAGCCCTAGAGTTTTTTAAAAGACCTGGACTTTGTACTAATTTTATTAAAATTACAATTAGTACATTGACCAGGAACGGAGCGTAGTAGAAAAAAGGGAACTTCAGCGCAAATGATGCTCTGCTTCTACCTGTATTTATCCGGACGAATAAAGGGACTTTTCAGGCTAGATTTTTAATTTTTTTTTTTTTAAATATTGAAAATATTAGATCTCATTGACATTACGTGGTACCTAAAGCAGGTCTTTCCCCCCATTTTCTTGCCACCGTAATGCCCCCTGTCCCCCGAAAGCCGCACGAACAAACAACACACATACTCGGCCGGATAATTTACACTTGGAAGTTTTGCATTGCACTTTC